TAAAATAATTTTGTCTTGAAATAACAATTTTTTTTGTCAACTACTTGAAACAACAAAACTATACGTATTCATTGAATTGTACATAATTTACAAAATATACCAAAAACTACATTAACTAAAAGATTAATCTAAATAGCTTACACTGAAAAACCTATTGGTTATACAATTTTATTCATCACTTTTTAGATTCTTATATTCATCATCTTATTTTTTTTCTAAATCTTATCCCGCTTAAACAACTATATATTTAACTTTTTCTTGTTAGTATCTTCATCTGCAAATAATTCTGCAATTCAAATAAACCAATAACATTTATTTAGAAGGACTCACTTGAATGTTTACGCTATAAAACAGAAAAAGTGATGATGGAAGAACAACTCATAAATTGACTTTTTTATTTTACATGTTGATTTTTCCCCTTCATCCTAAATGTAAGCCATAGAAGAAAACAGATTTATAAATAATCAATTCTCTTTTATTCACAAAAAAAAAAAGTAAACTACCTCAATTATATAACAGAATTTTATATATTTATTATTATTATCTCAGTTTGTTGACAATGTTTTCATTTTCTTTTCAAAGATATGAAGAAACTAAGTTGATATTTTCAACGTGAATCATGCGAAAGAAAAAAAGAGTATCAAGTTTAGAAGAAGAGAACCTGTATTATTACACTCAAAACCAAAAGAAATTGACGAAGAAGATGAAACTATAAGAAAAAGAGAGAGGAGCAAATAAAATAATTAAATTAGTTGCCATGATTTGAAAGGATACAATTCACGTTTGAACGTGGTGGATTGACTTGAAAAATTATAGGGATTTAAGTTTTTGCAATTTACTAATCGTTAGAATTATTTTTGGTTTTGATCCTTTTTATTTTAAAAATTACTTATATTTGTCTAATTTCTAGATTTACTTTTATTAGTTTTTATTTTTTTTTATATATTCCACATGGCATAATAGGATTGGTAGAGTGACTTGTGCTTTATTATATAAGAGATTACTTGCTCAAAATTTCTCAATGATTCAGAAAATAAATCGATATTAAAAAACATGTGGGACTATAGAATATATAAGTGATATAGATCCATTTAACTTATATTTTCTTAATTGATCCACATCTTGATTGCAATATAACGGATCTGGATCCACATATTCTATTTTCTTGGATATCTTATATGTGTTTCATCCCTTATATATATATATATACATTTAACTATATCCATACAACTAATTTTATATCGGTTATTTGAATATTTTTAAGTTTCTATACATCAGAATCGAACCCGATTCAAATAACGTAATCTAGTTTTTTTTTGTTGTTTTATTATTTTTAGGTTATTTTAGTTTTGATAAAAAATATATGAGCAGAATCAAGTAATACAGTTGTGTTTGGTACAACTATATTATAATGTTCCAGATACATTGATTATTTGGATATTTTTAGGTTTCTATACATCAGAACTGAATTCACCCCGATCTGGGAGGACATGACTCGAAACCCATCCGAATATTTATAATACCCGAATGGAGCATAATTTCAAAAAAGAAAAAAATCCTAATACCCAAAAAATTATCCGTACCCTAACATATATCTAATTATGTAAATAGATAAAAAAACACTCTGTTAACCGTTTTGACTTCTTTTCACAAATAGTGCAATTTCATTCAAATATGTCAAGTTGTTATGGTTAACATGAAAATAAATGTTTTCAGATAATTATGGTAACAAAAATTAATAAATTAATTAAAAAGAGGGAAAAGAATGTAAAATATGTAATAAAAACTTCATAATAGGTAAATTATGTTTTATACTTTTGTAATAAATGCTGTAAAATTATTTTGAAAAATACAATAAATGAAATAGTTAAATTTAGTTAAAAAGGAATAAAATAGGGAAAATCTTATTTTGTACTTCAATTTTAATGAAATAATAAATTTTTCTTTTTCTACGCTTCCAGAATTTGCTTCCTTTTACACTTCTCTTCGATTTTCCATTCGAATACAAATTTAGTTGTGCTTGTTATTTGTTTTGGACCAAAGCAAAGATAATATCCAATATTGCGTCTTCTTCCTAGTTAATCTGTATGTTATCTTTCTCAATATAATACTGTTTGAATAGATCTACTATTTTTGTTCTACACAGCTACTGTTAACGATATATAGTCTGATGGATCTTTAAATTTACTGAGAAATAAAGTACGGAATAGGAGATTGTGTGTATAAGAAGAAATATAGGAGGAGCGTATAAACTGATAAATACATATAAGAATGTATGTTTGTTGATATTGTGAATAGAATATGGTCGTGACTACATAAAGTATTTAAGAACAAAAGAGTATTCAATTATTGAGAGCAAGATTGCTATATAAGAACTCGGGTCCCCCTCCTCTTCCTCATGATCTTCTTATATAGGTATTGATGAGATGGATCATAACGATGGAGTGATCTTTGGCGTGTACCATGAGGGGCTTTGATGATTGTATTTAATGCTTTAACCACCGTTATGTGTTGGTTTAAATAAGCTAAGCTCGTCATAGGCCTCCTCTTCAGATCGCCATGAGCTTTGAACTCTGATAGGCCCTTTGTCTTCTTCCATGTCTTAATTTTACTGGAACGGGTTCTTGGAACGGGTATGAAGTGGGTGAAAACCGCCTCCAACAATAGCCCCTCCCCTGAAATCTGGTGTGACTTAAGTCATTAGCCAAGTCGAGTGTAGGTTCCAACTTGGATGGTGTATTTGAGATCGGCTACTTATAAATTTAAGATTCCAGTTCGAGATTTCAGTTTGGGAGAATTAATTGGGAGATTTGATTGATGCAAATCAAGTGATTTGATTTTATCTCCTTAAAAAAATGAATAGTTTGTGGCGTAATAATCATTTTCTTTTGTGGTTCCAATTTTCTCTACATAACTATCCATATTCTTATTCTGTGTCCCCCCTACCCTTGTTAGAAGAAACCAAAATGTTTTCTCTTACTTTTTATCTCTACTCTAGTGTTGGATTTCATTGTGATTTTGATTTTGTTTTGCTTTAACCGTTTCTCTTTTTGATATTATTCTTGCTAGGATTGTTTTTCCTATTTGGGATTTGTAGCTTCAAGAATATGTTGTGTAGGGTTTTGTGATGCGAGTTACCATCTTAGCTTTTGATTTTATTGTTCACCGTATGTTGTCTTTTTTTCGTTAGACAAGTGAAGTTCTTATCATTCGTATCCTATCTTTGGTAAGTTTATCTTTTCTTCTTGTTTTCCCTTTACACTTCCATCCTTATGAGTTTTGTTTGTTTTTTTATGTTCTAGCTGTTCATCATGGTGCGTCCGGACATTGTTATCCCTAACCTCGCCGAGAAGGCGACCGAACTCGCTAGGAAAAGAGAGAAGGGAAAGGTTGCCTGTGATTCGTCAGCTCGAAGATCATCTCCAGATTTGACAGGCGTCTCCATTGCACCCAAGGTTGTCGGGCCTAGTTGTGAGGATTGTGGTTCCCGAGGCTTCTTTGACAATCCAAGAAACTTATGGAGTTGGTTCGAGGTTCAACCCTTCATTCCATCGCCAAATGATGGATCTTACATCAACTTAGAAATAAAGTATGAGATTGCGTGTATAAATCATACATGAGCATATAAATGGATGAATACGTAAAAGAAATGTATGTTTTATTGATATAGCGAATAAAATACAGCCGTGAATACATGTGATATCTAATAACAAACAAGTATTCAAATATTGAGGGTAAGATTGCTATATAAGAAATCAAATCCTTTTTATAGATGTTGATGAGATGGACCATTAGGTAATTAAGAACTAACAAGTAAAGGTGGAGTAATGTCCGTCATAATTAACCCGAGGTTCTTATGATGGAGTTCTTGGCAGAAATTAAGAAACTGTTTCTTAACTTTTAACTAAAAAAACTAAGAACCAGTTATTTTTAATAAAATGATTTGGCCACCATTATGTGATGAATATTAGATGCTCTGATGAATGTATTTTCTGCTTTGAATATGGTCTAAGAAAGTCTATGCTAGTACACTTGCAACTATATATATATATATATATATATATATATATATATATATGAATATCATCAAATTAAAAACAGCATTTCCAGTAAGAAAATACAACTATTAAATTTCCTAGGCTCGATATAAACTTGACATCTAAATTTCGTATTCAATCAATTAGATCCAAATGCTAAATACAAACGTACCGAAATCATATAACCAATGGTATGGTTTTAATTTTCTTTAATTAGTTGTAAAGTGCATGCAGTGATTTTATTGATGAATGCGATAGTTCAGCGAAAAGAGAATAATAGCAACCTAGATGACAAAAAACTCAGCCGTACATATACACACATGAATACAATACAAACCAGCCACGACATATTCACATGTCACCCACCTTTAAGCAGTTCTCTTTTTTCCCTGACTATATATTGTAACAGAAACATATATGGAAGGAACTTACTACAATTCGAGCCAGGTCAACGATATAAAATGCAATACTTTCCCTAAATAACATATCAAATGAGCATAAAATGCACCCTACGATCTAACTAGAGATTCCTATTTTTTGCTATTTCAGACATATTGCACATACATTTATGTAGACAGATAATCATACCGAACAATTCAGCTAGAGAGATATCTATACAGAAAAAGCTGTTCTTGTATAGATTTGTCCTGCATAAACGACCGACCGAAACGGTGCGTTTCCCAATGATAAGGCTACCACATACTTACACGAATCTGTCTATTGACTCGTCTCTTTCTTTCCACATCCCTCACTTTGTCTCGTTTCTCTCTATTCTTCACTTTTTCAGAATTTTAAATGCATAAAATTAACTAATCAACGTAAAAAAATACATAAAATTATGGACATGTCGTTTTCGTCACCTTCTCTACGCTTTATATTCTTTTTGTTACCTTATGTGTCATCTACATACAAAACCACAAGAAGAAGAGACTACTAACTAGTAACACACTTCTCTCTAAACCGGACCCAAATGACCAGAACGGAGATCTTAAACCCGACCCGGTTCCCCTCTCTCAAATCCCCACACTACAGCGGCGGCGGCGGGGACGCTAGCTTCATGGAACAGCTCCTCCTCCACTGCGCCACCGCCATCGACTCCAACGACGCCGCATTAACTCACCAAATCCTCTGGGTCCTCAACAACATTGCCCCTCCCGACGGTGACACCTCAACCCAACGACTCACCTCCGCCTTCGTCCGCGCGTTGCTCTCACGCGCCGTCTCCAAAATCCCCACACTCTTCTCCACCGTATTCCAACCACCAACCGACGAAATCCACCGGTTCTCAGTCGTGGACCTCGCCGGGTTCATCGACCTAACTCCCTGGCACAGGTTCGGTTTCATCGCCGCCAACGAGGCGATCTTAACCGCCGTGGAAGGCTACTCAACGGTGCACATCGTTGACTTGAGTTTGACTCACTGTATGCAAATCCCTACTCTCATAGACGCAATGGCAAACAAACTCAACAAACCTCCGCTTCTAAAACTCACTGTAGTCTCCTCCTCAGCCTCAAGCTTCCCACCGTTCATCAACATCTCCTACGAAGAGCTCGGTTCTAAGCTCGTCAACTTCGCCACCACTAGAAACATAGAAATGCAGTTTACAATCATACCTTCAACGTACTCGGACGGCTTCTCCTCACTGCTGCAACATTTACGAATCTACCCTTCTTCCTACAACGAAGCACTCGTCGTTAACTGCCACATGATGCTCCGTTACATCCCCGAAGAAACCCTAACTCCGTCATCGTTATCTCTCCGAAACGTTTTCTTGAACCAACTAAGATCTCTGAACCCAACACTCGTAACCCTAATAGAAGAAGACGCGGATCTCACGTCGGAGAATCTCGTCACGCGGTTGAGATCGGCGTTTAACTACTTCTGGATCCCTTTCGACACGACGGACACGTTTATGAGCGAGCAGAGGAGGTTGTACGAGGCGGAGATAAGGTGGAAGATAGAAAACGTGGTGGCCAAGGAAGGTGTGGAGAGAGTTGAGAGGACGGAGAGTAAGGAAAGGTGGCTTGAGAGGATGAGAGATAATGAGTTCGGTGGGGTTAGGGTTAGAGAAGAGGCGGTTTCGGATTTGAAGGCGATGCTGGGGGAGCACGCCGTTGGATGGGGGATGAAGAAGGATGATGATGATGAGAGTCTTGTGCTGACGTGGAAAGGTCATAGTGTTGTGTTTGCTACCGTTTGGGTTCCGATTTAGTTGGGGGTTGATTTGGTTTTAAATTTAGCTACCGTTTAGGATTGCTGTAGTTTGTGATTTTATATATAACTTTAATTTAGGGCTGGGCAATCGGGGTCCCAATCGGGTTTCGGTTCGGGTTCATTCGGGTTTCGGATTTTCGGGTTCATAAATTTCAGCCCCATTCGGATATTATAAAAATTCGGGTCGGATTCGGTTCGGGTTTAGTCGGGTTCGGTTCGGGTTTAGTAACATGTCTAAGATCCGGTTGAATCCGAAATAGTTTCGGTTTCAGAT